GGGGGGGAATAAAGGTCAATAACTTATTAATAAGTGAAAAGTTAATGTTAGTAAGTTGGCTTATTAATATATCAGTACCGATTTAGTGAGTTGATTATATTATTGCAATTCAGAAAGTGTGCTTTAATTTTTGCCCAAGTCCTGACTTACTTTCCTTCTTTGGAGAGAGCCCCTGGGCCCCTCTCAAGGGCCTTGAGACCCTTGGCCTGCCCTGGAGGAATGGGGTTCCCCTCCATTCTCCACCTTGCTCTGCTTCTCCCACCCACCCCCAACATCTGACAACTTCCTGGTTTTCCATCTGCTCCCTGCCAGCCTGTGCTCTTCTGCCAGGGATCAACAACCGTCTTTGCCCCCTTTGCCCTCCACAGCCTTGAACCTTCTTGTCAGGCTTTGACGAGATGGGGTGAAAACTCAAACTGCAGCCCATCAACAAGGCTGATTCTGATGGAGAGCCAGCCCGGACGGAGAGCGGCTGCCACAGCATCTGCATCTCCTGAACCTTCTGGACCAGCGTGGCTGAAGGCCCACCTGGGCATGAATTTCCAGACAAGAGCTAGCAAGAGACCTCTTTTGCATTTCATGCAGACAGGAGTGGCTCTTGCTATCTCCAGGGCTGGACAAACCCTCACCTTGAAAGTGGGACATTTGCTGACAGTCTGTAGGGCACTTTGAGCCTTGAGTGAGAACTCTGGTTGATTTGCTTGATGACCCATTGGTTTGTTTTCTCGGCTGTCCGCAGTCTTCTCAGGAGTCTTCTCCAACAGCAAAGTTCAAAGGTGTCAATACTCTTCCTCTCCTGCTTCTTTAAAGTCCAGCTTTCCTTCCATGGAGGGTCACAGGGAAGACCATGGCCTGCACAATTCTGAGCTTCGTAGGTGCAGACACACCATGGCATCTGAATATCTTTTCCAGGGCCTTCTGGCTGCTCTGCCAAGTGCTCCCCTGTGGCACATCGCTTGACTGCTGGTTCCTCAACTGTTGATGGTCGGTCCCCAAAGGCAGAAGCTAGAAGATAACTATTTCATACCTTCATGGTCTAGCAAGTAGATGTGAAAAAAACACCTAACTGAAAAGTCACTGAAGTGCTGCGTCCAGCTAGAGCGGGAGAAGTATGGTCCCCTTGGGAAATTCCTCTCTGATAACCGACAATGATTCAGGCAGCAGGCTTTGTGGTGCAAGAAGAGTAAGAGGGGGAAACGGGCAGGTGGGCGGAGACGCGTCCACAGGCATCATCCTTCTTATTTTCATCCAGGGAATTAGGAAGGCTAATTCCCAGCAAGGAAGGAAATGCAGGAGAGAAGAGATGGGTGGGCAGGATTTCTGCCGCGAAGCTTGCGTGTGGACGCCTCTTTGCTTTCAGACTGGCGTAGCCAGGGCACGGTGGCGGCTGCCTGAATAGTTTCACAGGGCCAGCAAAAGGGTCAGACATTTTCCAACAGTCCAAACAGTCCCTGCGTGCTCTTCTTCTTTAAAGCCTCTTCCCCCTGGTCTTCAGGAATGCAGGCAATGCAACAAGGCAAAGGGGCAGAGGAGGGGGGCTCTCCTTGGAGCCAACACAAACTTGGCCCCGATAGAGGAGTGATCAACACGTGGGGATGGAGGCAAAGGAAGAGACCTCCGCTGGAGAGCTGACCTGTTCGGAGGAGGAGCAGGAGGCCAGAGGGGTTAGGGAGAGAACGGCATGAGGCTGTGGGGCCTGGGTGCCATCTGTGGGGGCGAGGCTTCCTTGGGGAACAGAAAGGGGGCAGGAGAACGGTCCAGGGGGATCCTTCAGCCTGATGCCCAGCTTTTGCAAAGAGCAAAGGCTTATACAAGAGTGAAGTAGCTGAAGAGGTTCATGGAGGTGAGCTCCCAAGCAAGGAGATGGGACTCCTCGTAAGCAAGCCGTGCCCCAAACTCCCTTTGCCATTTGGTCCTGGAAGGAAAAATAGGAAGGGGCATTTGGGAGCCTTTCAGCCTCCTAGCCAGCTGGGGCACATGGACTCGGATATACTGAGGCTTATTTCTCGTGGTTGGTTGGCCTGGTTGACCCTGTAGATCCTTTGGGACCTCTCCCCCCGCTTGGCCAAGAGGCAGCCCGGGGCTGGTATCCAGGCCTGACTCCAGAACCACCCCACTCAGTGAAGCTTCGGCAGGCACCATTTCTTGCCCTCGAGCCCCCGCTCGGCCTCTTCCTCCACCGTCATCATGGTGGCCAAGAAGGGCTCCTCCTCCACACAGCGGGGCTCGGGGGGAAGGGGTGGCCTGCTGGCCGGCCTGCCGGGGGAGGCGCGTCCCAGGAGTCCTGCATCCCTGCTCTGGCCAGCGTGCCCCTCCGAAGGGGAGCTGGGCGTAGAAAGGGCTGAAGCAGCAGACTGGATCGCACAGATCCAGACGGAGAGGGAGGATGGCCACTGGCAGGGGTGTCTGTGGGGCGTGGTCAAAAAAGTCAAGACGGAGACTGAGACTGCAACGGCGCGATCGAAGCTCCACCAATTTTTTATGTGTTGTGCATGCAGCACACAGGAAAACAGTGAAGTTTTGATCGCACTATCGTGGCCTCCATCTTGACTTTTCTGGCCACACCCTGCGGACCCTCCTGGAGACTGGATGTGAACCCCCTGACCCTTGGCCAGCAACCTCCAGTGCAACAGCGTGGGTCTGGGGAGGTCCCCTCGGACGCCACCCACCCGCCGGCTTGCCTGGACTTCTGCCTTGGGGGGCCGTCCCCTGCTGCAGGTTTACTGCAGGCGCATCCCTTCAAGACATGGGGGGGCGGCTGGAGCAATTGATCGGTTCCTCCTGCTCCCTGTGCAGCCTCAGCCCCCTCCCCGGCCCTGCCAGAAACGGCAAGGCGGCCCGAAGAGTCTTCAGGGTGGGGCCGCAGCTATCCTGGCAGGATCAGGTCCTCGTGCGCTGCGCTGGCCGGGGGCGCAAAGGGCCTCCTTCACCTTCCAGCTTCACCTTCCGGCCAGCCTGCTGTTTCTTCCCCTACTCTTGGGGTCTGCCTGTCGAGCCAAACCACTGGTCCCTCCGGATCAGCGTTTGAAGAGGAGTGGACTTCAACTCCCAGCATTCCCCAGCCAGCCATGGGAATTCTGGGGGTTGAAGTCCACACCTCTTCAAGCGGCCAAGGTCGAGAGACACTGCCCCAGGCGTGTCTTAGCAGACCCTCGGAGCGCAGACCACGAACGACCCTTCTCTGGGCAGAGCAGCTGCTCTCCGCAGCCGTACCAGCTGGGGGCGAGGGCACTGTACCCCAAGCCGTCGGGAGGACACGGTTCTCCGGGCGGGATCCATCACCTGGGGCCCCGTCTGCAGAACCAGGCTAGGTCTGGGACTTCGTGGCTGCTCCAAGACGCACTCCAGGAAGGTCACGAAAGGGCCGTAAAGCCTGGGCCGCCAGCGCTGTCCAGCCCGGGGGCAACGGGGCTCTGAGAGGAAGCCCCGCCCAGCTGAAACTCACCCCCCCCTTCTCAGCCCTCTGCGTTGCAGG